GCCGGCTTCGACCAGCTGCACCTCCACCGCCGACCACCAGTCCGGCCGATCGAGCGACACCGTAGGCGGCGACGATCCGGCGCGCCTGAGGGACAGCGGGGTGTCGTGGAAGCGAGTGGTGCAACAGCGGGCGCAGACCGAGCGCAACTGGGAGGAGGGCACCTACAGAGTGGTTCACGAATTCTCGGGTAAGGCGACCACGTTGTTGTTGTTGTTGTTTGGTGATGCCTTGATGCGGAATGACGATTGTGATGGTTGGCCGGCGCAGCGACGGCGCCGCTGTCGGACATGGCGATGAACAGGTGCCGCCCGTCGCGGGCTCGTGTGATGGTGGCCTTCTCCACGTACAGCAACAAGGTACCATCATCGCATGTGACCCAATTAGCTGAACACTTGCGAGAGCTGCCTACCTGACCTCCTCACCTTTGTGGCCTCTCCGACTCGTCCCAGGCGCTGCTGTATGATTTGAACTCTGGTGAAAAGCTGGTAAGTTCCCGCAACCTCGTGTGCGTGTGCGTGTGCGTGTGCGTGTGCGTGTGCGTGTGCGTGTGCGTGTGCGTGTGCGTGTGCGTGTGCGTGGTGAGATAATGACAGTTCGCGGGGTGTGTGCAGCAAGAAGTGGGACTAGACGATACTGGGCCTATGGGGTTGACCTTCATGGACGACAGCACCCTGATAACATGCGGCCACCGAGATGGCGGCTTGCAGCTGTGGGACGTAGAAATGGGTACGTCGGCCCACCCAACACGCATGCTTTGTACACGACACCACACATTCATTACTCACCAACGGTCTTTGCGTCGTGATACAGGGAAGTGTATTCAAAGCTGCGAAGAGGCCGACGCCAACGGCGTGGCACCATTCGAAGGCACCGAGTGCGGCAACACAGATCTGTCGCACCTGTTTGTTTCGCTGACCGCCAAGAAAGTGGAGGTGCGCCTGCCACCGCCGCGGTGGCTTACACCTCACTCTTCCACTCGCTAACAAAATGGTACGGTGCAGGTGTACGACACGCGATCGTTGTCTCGGGTGATGTCCCTCCGCGGCCACCGCCAACTGCTGGTCTGCGCGGCTGCCCGGTCATCCAAGGGCGGACGAATCGCCAGCGGGGACATGGATGGTACCGTCATGTACTGGGATCTCCGGTTCGTTACCAAAACACACGCG